CCTCCACTTGCTCTGAAGGGATTTATAATTAAAATTATTTGAACGTTACTTTCTGATATTGGATATTGGATCATTTTTAGATATTTTAGGATGTTTTACAGAAATATTTGTTCTTTTCACTCTATATGGCCATATCTACAATATATCAAGACCAAGATTTACTTTATTTATTTATTTTGATTCCTGAGTTAGTTTGTAGGCTTTAAGTGTGGAGAGAATGAAGCAGCTTGATGATAACTGATGATTTCCTCCAGGGGAAGGACATGTAATATAATGGTTGGGAGAGTTAAGAGATTGTCACATATAGTCACTAATTTATGAGAAACAATGCTTTGACTTTGATAATTATCAGAGGTGACAGAAAAGAAAAATCTCCCCTTGTATTGACAGGAGAAGATATGAGAAGCATCAGAGAATGAAGAAAGGCAATTTGGAGGTAGATCTGAGATAGTGTGTGCTGTTCACTGAGGTCAAAACACGTCTGCATGGAGGAAGTGAAGGACAGCACTTGGATTCTGCTTTTTTCTCTTTCTTTCTTTTTTTTTTTTCTCCCATTTTTCAAAGAAACCTTCATGTATACAACAAATCTAAAAGGCAAATGCATTAAAATATAGGATGTTTAAGGAAAGACTGAACCCTGTGCTATAGCTGGGAATCCACATTAAACTCCAGACTCGTGGTTTTTTTTTTTTTTAATTCTGATTCTGTTCAAACTTTCTACTGTGGTCCCAGCAAAATGACTAAATTTCTGCATCCCTGAACTCAGCATGCAGAGGTTCAGTTTTCTTAGAAAGCCAAGACAGGCATTATTAAAATCAGAGATGATTTGGTGTTGCAGCTGGCAGGGTGCTGAAGTGCAGTACTAAAAGCTACATGGCTAAACTGTGGGTTTGGACTCTTGGGTTGGCCTGAAAACATGCTAGGTGCACGTGGGTGTCCAAAATCCTGATATACTTGAGGGCTGGGGAAAGGAGATTGTGGTGTGATAAAACACCAAGAACATGCCTCTCTCTCTTGCACATGTGTATATTCTCTCTTTCATGGATTAACACACACACACACACACACACACCTTTATAAGAGAGGATATTAAAGTTAATTTTCTGTCTTCTTAGGGTATTTTTGTTGGTATACACTCATTTTAAGTCATTTTAAGGACTCTATGTCTCATGTCCTCAGTTTCTGTATCTTTAAAGTGCATATTAGATGATAAAAATCAAGGTATGTGAGGATTTCTAAAGTTTAGAATTCTAGAATATTGTCCAAAGGCCTGCTGAACTCAATAACATTTGCCTATACAAAAAAAAAATCAATAACATTTGCCTATACATTTCATAGCTTAGAAAAAAATCTGCCATGGATTTCCTGTGCTCACAGGTGGTGACTTTATGTACAAGCCACTGTTCAAACTCTGGCACTGTTCGCTGAAAAAGTAAACTGGATTCATGGTGAAGTGGCACTGAACAGTGATACAGAAATACAGACACCTAGATTTGAATACAGGGCTTAAATTGAAAAAAAAATTTATTACTTTGGTCAAGTCATTTACCTTCTCCTAAATACAGTTTCCTTCTTAAAATAAAGGTAGTAGTGTACCAACCTTGTGACATTGTTATGAGGATCAAGTGGAATAATGCATATAAAACATTTAGTATTGTGCTCATCACATGACAAGCATTCACTAAAGATGAACTATTATTATAAGAAGTACATTGCATAAAAGTAAATTTCTGCATGCTATTAAGGATGAAGAAAAACAGAGTTATAGAAAAAATCTCATTTAAAATGTTTGAGTTTGTGGAATTTAAACAAGTAACAAAGATTTGTCAGTTTGGAAAGACATTTTCCAGTTTAGGTCCTGTCTCTCTCTCACTTGCAATCTGAGAGTCCTTTTATGGAAGGTAGAAGTTCTTTCTAGATTGAAACTTCTTTTTCTTTTTTAAAAAAGAGAATAATTAACTAAATTATTATTATTATAGTTACTATTATTTCAGTTTGCTACAGGACACATGTACTCACTAAGAGGGAAATGGGGTATGGGGGACTAAAAAAACAAGCTGCCAGGTCCAGGACTTGAACTGTGGTCAGTCATGTGTTTGTAGAAGTCCAGTATCTTAACCACTATGCCACCTGCTGGCTTCCTAGATTAATAGTTCTTACTATTTCTCATTTTTTAAAAAAATATATGAATATTAGAAGATTTGAGGGATACTAGGCACATTGTCGGTCTTTTGACTAGAACAGAAAAAGTAACTAATCCTTCGCCTGAGTCTGCTAATTAAGAGTGGATATTTAAGAGATCGATTATGACATAGGATTAGTTGTTTTTCTTGTATTCTTATGTCTATGTTGTGTGAGAAAAAAGAAAACAGATGAAAATCATGAAAGAAGACTTCCCAAACAAATTCTGATAACTTCAAGATTTGTGAGAAAGGGAACTACTTTCTCAGATATTATTTTAAGTGGCAGATACTTTGTTTCTTCTGCAATAATGTGGTCCCAGCAATTGACCGAGATTGTTTTATGTACAGTTTTGGTAATAAAATCTAACTATGGGCACAGACATTTAGGAAGTTATAAAAACATATTAGTCAGTTGTTGGTTCTCCCAAGGGCCATCTCCTCCAGAGAAGAGTTGACAATTAGAAGCGCACTCAACTTTACGCTCTAGGGTTCTTATCCCCTGAAGGATTCTTTGATGCACTGGGCTATCCAGAAAGGAGGTGCTATCCTGGGCTTGGAGCTCTGAGGCCAGCTTCTCAGTGAAGCATTTGTGAACTCTTGACCATGTATTCTGTTATGGATCATGTCTACATGTAACAGAGAGAATTCACCTTACCCTTTACTACCTTTATGCTTTATGAACACATAGAGGTTTAAAAAAAGAACTCTGAAATACAGAAAAAAATAGAATTAATAATGAGAAAACTTAATATTATCTTTTTTTAATATTATCTTTTTTTTAATATTATCTTTTTTTTTTTGGAGAGGTTTTTGCTATAGGGTGTGTGCGCACGCCAGAAAAACAGAGAGAGACAGAGAGACAGAAAGCGAGAAATCACTCACTACATGGGAGTCCAGCGACATAGCCATTACGCTAACTGATGGTCCCAGTTTTTAATATTATCTTGATGTTCAATTGAATGATATGTACATTCTTCAAATAAATGAGGATAGACTTTCTACTAAACAGAATTTGGTTAATTATTTAGACTTGACTTCTTGACTACCAGTGTCAGTGGTATAAATTGAAACTAGAGAGTAATAATCCTTGGATGGTAGACTAAGGATGATATTTAGGAAGATTGTAAGGGATCTATGGGACAGTCATGGCAGCCTCATCCTCTCACCTGATCTTCTCAAAATGGTGAGTTAGTACCCAGGCAGGCCCTCACACTGTCCATTTGGATAACTGGTAATAACAATTTAATGTGCACATTATAGCAGTTAATATAATTGTATTCTGATGATGTTTTCTGGGTTCTCACTGTGTGCCAGTGTGTACATTCCTGTGCTTTTTTCCCTCCATGTTTCACTCAATTTAAAAATTTATGGTTTCAGGGCCAGCGGGTGGTGTGGTGGTGAAATGTTTCACTCAATTTAATCATTTATGGTTTCAGGGCCAGCGGGTGGTGTGGTGGTGAATGTACTGAATTCCCACATGCCTGACTGATTTGAGTCCTGAATGCAGGACCAAGACTCACACTGGACACATGTGCAAGTGTGCCCAAAATCCCAGCAGGAAAATGGAAAAGAAGGGATTGTGGTATGGTCATCCCTCCTGGGGGGTGATTTCTCACTCTCCCCCCCTTTCTGATTTGTGCATGTGCTCTATAGTAAAAACCTTAAAAAAAATTATGGTTTCAGACCCAGCCACTGTGGTGCAGGGGTGGCACCTGCTCTGCAATGCTGGAGCCACATGGAACACCAGGGGTTCATATTCTTGGTCAGCCTGAAGCACTCTGGGTTCATCTGTGCCTGACTGGGATCCTGCTGGCTGGAGGGCTGCAGAGGGATTGTGGTTTGATAAGACCCTGATGAGGGTACCCTTTTCTATCTCTTTCTATAAGTCCCTCATGAAAGAAATAAAATAAAAAAAACCTCATGGTTTCATCTTTACACGTACAAAAAAATGCAGAGATTACATATATTTTTCTGATCATAAAATTCCTTATGCAAGCTGTAGAATTTGTAAAACACTAAGAAAGATCAACTGTAATTATACATCCAGAAGTGTTCTACATATATTAACATGTATCCTTATCTACTGTTTACTACACATGTGTTTCAACATAGGTGAATAAAACCTATATAAAATTTTATAAGTGATATTTTTATTTTGAGTTTTTAAAAGTTTATCGAGAGAGAGAGAAAAAAAAAGAGAAACAGAGACTGGGACCCCTCCATAGGATCTTGCCACACCAAGATGTTCACCTCAGATTCCTGGCCAGCCAGAATCACAGACATGCCCACTGTATTTGGGGCAACTCAGGACCAAATCTTGACCTTCCCATGTAGCTCCAATATCACAAAGTAAAATCTTATGGCTTTTGATTCATGAGTGGTTCAAAATTTGAATTTTATTCCTAAAATGTACACATGAAACCTATAGTCCTCAAATACCAACTTACTCTATAACTGTTCTCACTAACTTCTTATGTATAGTACATTTATATAATTATAACTATGATATATATGCTATTTTGTGGTTTTAAAATCATACATATATTTAAAAGTCTACAGAATTATGACTATAAGATTTCATCATATGGAAGTTCAAGGGAAGTTTTGGGACTACCCTGGCACCAGGAAATCAAATCTATTTCTCCTGGATGGAAATTTTGAGGTGTCTCTTCATAGAGAGTTTGGGGAAGAGAAGAAACCATCTGTGAGCTGTCAGATTACTGAAAAGGCAGAGTTTTGGGCTATTTGGTTCCTTTATGATTCTTTTTCTCTTTCTTTTTTCTAGAGGTAAAATAATCTTGTCTGGAGTTTTTGTCACCCACACCACATAAATGGAAAATAAAAGGAATGTGACTGAATTCATTTTAGTAGGTCTTACACAAAACCCGAAAATGCAGAAAGTCATATTTGTGGTATTTTTGGTTTTGTACCTAGTAACACTCTCAGGCAACCTGCTCATTGTGGTTACCATCCTCACCAGCCGGGCGCTGAACTCCCCCATGTACTTCTTTCTAGCTCATCTCTCTCTGATAGACACAATTTATTCTTCTTCTTCTGCTCCTAAACTGATTGTGGACTCTCTTCATAAGAAGAAAATCATCTCCTTTAATGGATGTATGGCTCAAGTCTATGCAGAACACATTTTCGGTGCTACAGAGATCATCCTGCTGACAGTTATGGCCTATGACCGCTATGTGGCCATTTGCAAACCTCTGCACTACATGACGATTATGAGCCACAGGCTATGTGTTATACTCCTGGGAGTGGCCTGGGCTGGAGGATTTCTCCATGCTACTATTCAGATCCTCTTCACAGTCTGGCTGCCCTTCTGTGGCCCCAATATCATAGACCACTTCATGTGTGACTTGTACCCTTTGTTGAAACTCGTTTGCATGGACACTCATACCCTTGGTCTCTTTGTTGCTGCCAACAGTGGGTTCATCTGCCTGTTAAACTTCCTTCTCTTGATGATCTCCTATATGGTCATCTTACGCTCCCTAAAGAACTATAGCTTGGAGGGGAGGCGTAAAGCCCTCTCCACCTGTGTCTCTCACATCACAGTAGTTGTCTTATTCTTTGTGCCCTGCATATTTGTGTATCTACGCCCAGTGACCACTCTGCCCATTGATAAAGGTGTTGCTGTATTTTATACTATGGTGGCACCTATGTTAAATCCTTTGATTTATACCCTCAGAAATACTGAGGTAAAAAATGCAATACGGAGGCTCTGGAGAAAAAAAATAACTTCAGATAATGATTAAGGGTTATTGAGCATTACACACAGTGTAATAGATGTGTTGATCCACAGATGAAGGTATCACCCACCCCAAAAGGGAGTTGGATAATACTTGCAGATAGCCACTTAAGCATAGAGCTAAAGCTTGGACAGTAATCCAGACTCCGTTTCTAGTCCCACATTCGTGTTATCATAAATATTTCTTCTTAATCAATAAATATTTATCAGTTATATGGAAATCTAAAACATCTCTAAAATGTAAACAGTATGACTCTATTATATTGTGTTGATATTAAAATAACCTTGTTGTGTAACATTGTGATGGGTAACTACTGATTATTGAAAATAACAAATTTAGAGAGTAGATGGTGTAATGGTTACATTGCTGGACTCTCACATAGTCAACTGCAATAAGAGTCCTGGATCCGGTGGCTTAAAACTCATGCTGAGTTCCTGTGCATTCATGTCCAAGATCCTGAGAGGAGAATGAAGGAGAAGGTATTGTGGCATGGCCATCCCCCTTGGGGGGTGATTTTTCACATTCTGTCTCTGTTTGTCTCTATGGTGAGTGCATGCATCCTATAGCAAAAATCTCTATAAAAAAGAAGATGGGACCAGCAGTTAGCATAATGGCTATGTTGCTGAACTCCCACGTAGTTGACTGTGGTTCGTGTTCCGGACCCGGTGGCTTAAATTCACGCCGAGCGTGTGTGTGTGCGTGCCCAAGAGCCCGAGAGGAGAATGGAGGAGAAGGGGTTGCGGCATGGCCATCCCCTCTGGGGGGTGATTTCTCGCTTTCTGTCTCTCTGTCTCTCTCTGTCTGGCAAGTGCATGCGCCCTATAGCAAAAACCTCTCAAAAAAAAAAAAAAGATAACATATTTCATGATCAGCAAATATTGATTATGTAGTAAAAAAGAAACTGTTTATTAATACCTGTAGGTCTGACATTATATTAATTATTTTCTATATTGTATCACTTAGGTTTCAATCAGAACACATAGCTACCTTAATTTGAACAGGGAAAGTTTATATACAATTATTAATTGTATCAGGGGATTAAAGAGAAAGGAGTAAAGAATGTCTTAGATTAAGAGGTGAGCATCTAAGGAAGGTACACATTTAGAAAGTACTCTCTCCATGCTCCCTCTTTACCCTGATATTCTGGTATTTTGTACTTGTTGATTAGTGCAAACTTAGAGAAGTTTGCTGTATTGTCTTGGTTAGAACTAGTTTATGGTAGCTGAACAGAAGCTGGCACACAGGAAACTTGCCTATACCTCCCACTGGCTGGGATGCTAATGGGCTGAGGCTCATAAACAAGGAACTATGTCCTGGAATGAAAAGTAGGAAACAACCTGAAAAGTAGGAAACAACCATTGAGGTGCAAATAGACCAAGCTGGAAGAAAATGCCCCATTACAGTGAAAATGGGTAGAGTTGGAGAACTGATTACTGAGGGACCCATAAAGGTAATTGGAAATCTCCTTGCAGAGGTTCCACTGCAACTCAGTGGGACATTATCTATGAAATTCCCAGTGAGATTCAGTGGGAATGAGCACCACTCAATGTCCTCCTGGCCCCTGCCAAATATCCACACTAGTAGAAGCTACCCAGAGCACAGTGAAAACAGATACATATGTCAGGAATAGCTTCTTCTTTCAGTGTCCTGTATTGACAGTATTTACATTTATATCACACTAAGTGCAGGGGAGAAATGTTTACAGAGCACATTTTTTAATTAACATAGAGCCAACAATGAAAAGTTTATTTTGAGTTGAGAGACAAACTGATAACTGGCATGCAAATTTTATCTTAATGCTTATGACATCTTTGATAGGTCATAAAGCTTAGATATAAACATGATTTGGTCAAACATCAAATTAGTAGAATAACTTAGATATGAACTGAGATATGACTCAATATCTTAAAATAATTTGTGCTCATTGCACAGCCATATGTATAAATTACATTTCTTCATTGCTTGTAGGTAACTGCAACCATGTTTTTTTTTTTTTAAGATTTATTTATTTATTTATTCATTCATTCCTTCATTTTAATTTGACCAGAGAGAGACACAGAAGCGAGAGACAAGACAGAGAGAAAGCAAGCCACCAGGTCCAGGACTTGAACCTTGGTTGGCCATGTGGGAGTGTCCAGCGCCTTAACCACCACGCCCCCTGCTGGTCCCGGAACCATGTTTTTTTTTTTTAAGCTGAAAGCCTAAACATGAATGAAAAGAGTAATTGATTAAAAGATTCTGTGTGGCTTAAATTGTGATACTTTTGTATAATTTTGCTATTAGGTTTCTTATTAATCATTTCATTGAAAATGCAGAGACAGAATGAACTATTACTTGGTTGGGTTTTATAGACTAGATTCAAACACTATTGTTATATAAACTTTTGTTTGGAAATAATTACTTATTTAATTTTATTATTATTATTACTAAAATTTTCTATAGGGCAAGTGTGTGTGTGTGTGTGAGAGAGAGAGAGAGAGAGAGGGAGAGAGGGAGGGAAAAAACAAGAATGCAAGCTATCATGTCTGGGATTTGAGCTGCAATTTGCCATGTAGGAGTCCAGCGCCTCAACCACCATGCCATCTGCTGGCACCATTATATGGACTTTTAACTAAATTTTCGTAATACAGTGATTATAGTTCTCTTGAATACCTGAAAGATCTAGACTTCTCTCCTTTATCAAAAGAATTTTGATGGATGTCTAGGAGTTAGACTTTGGCACCAGAATGGAGGCAAAAATGTATAGAGAGGTAGACTTATGAAAACTGAAATAGATAGCATCCAGAGATAAAACCAGAATTGACAATCACGGGTTACCTAAACTTAATTCTGGCAGGGGGCAAAACCATACAAGGTCAAGAATGATACTCGACACTCAGGGAGGTGAGTAAAAAACTGGGGTCAGGCAAGATTCCCTGGGATACAACTTTAGGATGTTTTTCCACTCATTCTACAGTTGAGAGATAGTTTAAAAGAGAAAGTGTAAAGAGTTTGGGTGGAAAGGACATCAATGAATAAGGTGATGGTTGCAAAAACTTTCATATGGTTTCTCATCGAGCATGTCCTAATGTTCCCAGGAAAGATCATCAGTAGATAAACAGCTTGAAGAAATGATAGTTTATGCACAATGCATTTTTATGCAACTTTATTCTTATGCAACTTTAATTCTTATGAACAGAAGAAAAATGCTGCTTTGTCATCAGGGATATCTCACTGTCCACTCCCCTTTGCATCCCTGTATTCATAGTCATTAGAGCACTATGCTTCCACTTCCAGCTCATTCCCATGTGTTTTTATATTTTAACTAAACACTGTTAATTACCATCAACTGTCATAGATAAGCCAAACCATATTCAGTTCAAGCTTTTTGTGAATAGTTTGGATTTAAAGAAAAATTAATCATGAACTTTGTTTCCTTCATAATAAAAAAAAGATAAGTCTCTAAACAGTACATTAGATATCCAGAACTTATTTACCTTGCCTTATTGAAACTTCGTATTTTACTTTTATTTTTTTTCCAGATTTTGCATTAAGATATGTGTTCTTACCAGAGAGGGAGAGAGAAACTAGGGAAAGGGGAGGAAAGTGAGAAAGAATCCCCAGGAATGATGGTCACATCACAATCACATCTCCATTCTCCGCTTGGGATTTTGGGCATGCATGCACAGGTGTCCAGCATGCTTTTCAAGCTCCTGAGTCAAGGAATTGAACTTTGCACTGGGCCATGTGGGATCCAGTCACCTTAACTACCGTGTCCCTGACTGGCCCAAAACTTTATACCTTTTGATGAACATCTGATTACTACCCACCCCTCCAACACACACAGTCTCTAGAAATCATTATGTCTCATAAATTTGACTTTTTGTTTAATTTTGTTTTAAATATGCTATAGGCGTGTGTTCTTGAGAGAGAGAAAGAAAGAGGCAGAGAGAGATAGAAAGAGAGAATAAAAAAGCACCCCCAGGGGAGGGGAAGGCAATGCTGCAGTCCTTTCTATTTCATTATCCTCTTGAGATTTCAAATATGCTCACATATACATTCAGCATGTTTTTCAAACCACTAGGTCCAGGACTCAGACTGTACAGTCAGTCACGTGGTATCTAGTCACCTTAACCACGATGCCACTGGCTGGATCTAAGTTTGATGTTTTAGACTCCAAAGATAAGTGAAATTAAATCTATGATATATGTATTTTGCAGCTGCACCACTGTCTGGTCCGGTCACTGAGGTTTTATTTTGTATTTTCCAACAATTAGGGAGGTTGAGCATTTTTCTCATATACTTCTTGGCCATTTGTATGTGTTCTGGAGAAATATCTGTTGAGATCTTTTGTCCATTTTTTAATTCAATTATTTGCTTCCTTGCTATTGAGTTAGTTGAGTTCTTTATATATTTTTTATATTAACCTCTTATCAGATGTATGGCTTATAAACATTTTCTCCCATTTCATAGGTTGTGTTTTCAATCTGTTGACTGTATCCTTTGTTGTGTAGGAGCTGTTTAGTTTGATGCAGTACCATTTATCTTTTTCCTTTGTTGCCTCTCATATCCAAAAGTCATGTTCAGACCAATGTCAAGAATATTTTCTCCTAGGGACCAGCAGTTAGCCTAATGGCTATGTCGCTGGACTCCCATGAAGTCGACCACGGTTCGAGTCTTGGACCCGGTGGCTTAAACTCATGCCGGGTGCGTGTGTGTGCATGCCCAAGATCCTGAGAGGAGAACAGAGGAGAAGGAATTGCGGCGTGGCCATCCCTCCTAGGGATTGATTTCTCGCTTTCTGTCTGTCTGTCTTTCTCTCTGGCAAGCACACATGCCCTATAGCAAAAACCTCTCAAAAAAAAAAAAAAAAGAATATTTTCTCCTATGTTCTTTTCTATTAATGGTATAGTTTCAGGTCTTGGTTTTTAGTCCACCATTTGGAACTGACTTTTTACCATGGCATGAAACATGCTAACTCATGCTATGAGATAAAGGTTCAGTGTAATTCTTTTGCAAATGGCTAT